ATTTTGTTCTAACGGGTTTCCATACCTTTGAGACTGTTAGGTCACTAGTATGTAAAGGGACTGGTTTTGTTAGTTTGGTGAGAGCTAGTCTGGTATCCGTTAGCGTGACCAGCCGGAGGTGTGCGACGTTGCAGTTTCTCCGGCATGACTTATACAAGTGGCGAATATTATCGGTGATATATAGCACCGAATTAACGGGTAGCCATATAACTTGTCAGGAGGATTATTGCAGCGTGTTTGTGCAGTTCTAGCCGGTAAGCGTGTTCGAATAATGTATATAGTTGGTTTGCTGTTATAAATTTCCGGTTTCAGTGGTCTTTTAGGTTAGGTTTTTGTGAATATAAATTAATTTCAGTGCGTAAGGGGCTTGGAGACAATTTACAGCTTATTGGAAGTGCTGAGGGTCAGTTGACGAGCGATAGAGATTTGAGGCTTATTGACGAGTTTGGTATGGAGGGCCACGTGCGTCATATCCAAAGGTCGACATTATTGAGGGCGTGGTAGGATAAGCGGAGCGGGAGGCTAAGTCCCGGGGCTCTGCAGTTAAGGAACTACCATTTGAGGACCACGGAACTTTGTGGGACCTAGACGGAGTTGTATGGACGAGAGCACAGTGGCGTATTTTCTAGGACGTGTGTTTGACGTCAATTTGTGAATTTTGAGTAACTTTGAGTAACTTTGAATAACTTTGAGTAACTTTCAATAGCAAATACCACAGCACATTTAAGTTTTGAATATATATTTTATCCTTTTTGGAAGTCAATTAAGCTTTTCCTAAATATTGATTTTTAAGACAAAATTCGGTGAATTATTATTTAAATTGAGATCTGATACTAATTGAATCAATTTTGTTGCTTATAATATTAAACGTTATTATGTAAAGTATCAGATTTGGTTTAAACTGAGTTAACAGTTCATATCTATTTCATTTCCGGTGTGTGAGCTGGTATGTGAGAGTGAGTGTGTCTTATTGAATATAATTATGTTCCCCAAACGAAGTTGGGGAACATATTGTTTTTACTCTGTTTCTTATTATTATTATTAGGGTCTTCCGTCTTCAGCGGAAGACCCTTCTATTATTCTTATGTTTCTTTTTCAATTTTCTTATTAGGGTCTTCCGTCTTCAGCGGAAGACCCTTCTATTATTCTTCGGTTTCTTTTTTACCTTTATTAAGGTCTTCCGTTTCCAACGGAAGACCTTATTGTTTTCGTTCGGTTTCTTTTTCTCTATTATTAAATGTATTATTATTATTATTCTTCCAACCGATTTTGTGCACGCGATTTCCCAGAAACGGCTGGGCCGATTTACATGAAATTTTCATATGTAATAGCTAATCAATCGATCTTGATAGATTTTTGAGCGTTTTTATGACGTCACTTCCGGTCGTGAGATATGGATAATTTTCTGATTTTAAAATGCAATTTTGTCTTGATTTAGTAGCGAAAACTGCTCAAGATATGAACTGAAGATTAATTGGAGATGATAGTTCATGACTTATAGCGTTGCAGAATCGCCTTTTCGTGCGTCATCAATACTTCCGGTCGATACCGGAAGCGAATTTAAAAAACGCAATTTTTCAACTTTTCTTTTTTTATACTTTTGTTTTATAATTGAATAGAGACCCTTTTGCAGAAGCGAAATATGTAATTTGTTTGAAAATCGAAAAAGCCAATCTCGAGATATATGCATTTGAAAACGCGAAGCGGCGATCTCAATGGCTAAATGGTTAGCGCGTTGGATTGTCACGCGGGCGACCCGGGTTCGATCCCCCGTGTGACCAAAAAATTTTATCATTTTTTCTGCTTGATTTTTCGATATTTTAAAATTTTAAACCATTTGCAACAATACATTATAAACTTTTAAGCATATCTTGTGTAATTAGGGGTCAAAAGGGGCCAGAATGTCACATCTTTGACGCTTTATATCTCGAAAAGGGGGAATATTTTGATTAGCAATATTGAACAAAAGATGGTCAGAATAATGTTCTAAATAATATGCATACTTTGAATTTTTGTAAAACGGCCCCATTAAGGACCTGTAGGAGTGGCCCCTAAATATTTTCATTTAGCATATCTCTACAACGAATAGAAATCTCTGAATAAGTGTTGAACAAAAAATCTTCAAAATCACAAGACCTTTTATTTGATATCAAGAAAAAGGGGTTGACCCCTCAAATTAGGGGCTCAGAGGGGCCAAAAGTCTTTTATCTATAACTCTCTTATGCTCAATATTTTGTTATACATTACTGAAGCAAAGGTATTCATCTTAACGATTTGAAACAATACATGATACAATTAGGACCATATGTTACGTAATTAGGGGTCACAAGGGGCCAGAATGTCAAATCTTTGATGCTTTATATCTCGAAAAGGGGGAATATTTTGATAAGCAATATTGAACAAAAGATGGTCAGAATAATGTTCTAAACAATATGCATACTTTGAATTTTTGTAAAACGGCCCCATTAAGGACTTGTAGGGGTGGCCCCTAAATATTTTCATTGAGCATATCTCCACAGCAAATAGAAATCTCTGAATAAGTGTTGAAGAAAAAATCTTCAAAATCAAAAGACCTTTCATTTGATATCAAGAAAAAGGGGCTGACCCCTCAAATTAGGGGCTCAGAGGGGCCAAAAGTCTTTTATCTATAACTCTCTAATGATCAATATTTTGTTATACATTACTGAAGCAAAAGTATTTATCTTAACGATTTGCAACAATAAATGATAATATATTGATAATATGTTACGTAATTAGGGATCAGAAGGGGCCAAAATGTCACATCTTTGACGCTTTATATCTCGAAAAGGGGGAATATTTTGATAAGCAATATTGAACAAAAGATGGTCAGAATAATGTTCTAAACAATATGCATACTTTGAATTTTTGTAAAACGGCCCCATTAAGGACTTGTAGGAGTGGCCCCTAAATATTTTTATTTAGCATATCTCCACAACGAATAGAAATCTCTGAATAAGTGTTGAATAAAAAAATCTTCAAAATCACAAGACCTTTCATTTAATATCAAGAAAAAGGGGCTGACCCTTCAAATTAGGGGCTCAGAGGGGCCAAAAGTCTTTTATCTATAACTCTCTAATGATCAATATTTTGTTATACATTACTGGGGCAAAAGTATTCATATTAACGATTTGCAACAATATATGATAATATTTTTATCATATATAACGTAATTAGGGGTCACAAGGGACCAAAATGCTATATTTTTTATGCTTTATGTCTCGAAAAGGGGGAGTATTTTCATAAGCCTTATCAAACAAAAGATGTTCAGAATATCGTGATAAAAATGAGAAACTTTAACCTTAACTAGGGAAAATTCAATGTCATTCTCTTTTAACAAATATCTCAGTCAAAATCACATCTCATCTTATCGAGAAATTCAACGGAAGACCTACTCGTTGCTCGCAACGAGATCTCATCTAGTTATTATTTTTATTCTTTTTTCTTCTTGATAGTTCACTTTGGGGATAAACAGGAAATTGAAAAAAAAATTATAAGCGTTTCATCGCTTTAGTGTTACATGCATATGTACATTATGGAATTTGTAAAATGTGTTAAATATACATTCTAAACTTTGAAGCTTAGGCTATAAGAACGTTCTTTTTTTAATTTCATTGAAGCTATCACTTCTATTTAATAGAACATTCCAAAGAAAAGGTGCGAAGATTAACTCGTGGCGTTTGGCGCTAAATTTTGAATAGTGACCCGCTTTTGATAATTCAAAGAGAGAAGCACTGTTTCGTGAATATATACAAGTGGATTTAGAGAAGAGGTTTCAATAGCGTAATATTAAGAGCGTTGGAAATTCATGCTGGCGACTTGCGTTCCATCCCCCTTGTGTGCAATTTTTTTTTATATTTTCAGCTCCATTTTACGTTTTCTTTCCGGAATCGGACGGAAGACCTCTCGTTGCTCGCAACGAATTCATTCTAGTTATGTTCCCCAAACGAAGTTGGGGAACATATTGTTTTTACTCTGTTTCTTATTATTATTATTCTTCTTCTTATTATTATTATTTTTCTTCCTGTGAAAATCTTTTCCGCGAGTGATCTTGTAAACTACACATCCGACTTAGGTGAAACCTTTTTAGGGTAAGTAGGCATGTTATGTAGATTTGCAGAATCAAGGTCATTTTGCGCGCACGTGCTTGCAAGAGCGCGCACGTGCAAAACTAGAAATGACCAATATATTATCACATCCAATTCTATTCGAATTGGAGGCTTTTATCGAAGAAAGTGTTAATTTCCCATATTACAAAATCCATAGATCCGCCTATAATCCCTATAATCAATTAGAGTTATTCCCCCTGAGTCAACTTCCGTTAATCCTTTTTCATTCACAGACTATATGAATGAGGTTGGTGCAATTTTAAAGGATAATTTTTTGCAAATTTAGATATTTAGAAAAATAGTTAATGGGTATAATACATATGGATGTTTTTGTTATCTATTTGGTAGTTGTTTGCTGCAATCAATTTAGGAGTATTTATTCATGATTTCCCGATGATCCTTGATTTTATAATGATAATTTTTTCTAGCGTCTGTTGTGGCCATTTTGTATTAGCCGACCACGTTGTATCTATATAAGTTTTCATTAAAACAGATTATATCATGTAAGTATGTGATAAGATATAATGATTATTAAGTCAATTATCTTGATCGTTAGGATTTATATCATATTGCTTTGGCTTAATTAAATTTTCTTTGTTTTATAAATTGATCCGACACGTTTCAGATTTCCATACCAAGGGGAGATAACAAAAATAAAATAAAATAAATAAATAAAAATAATAATAATAATAATAATAAAAAAATAATAATAATAAATAAATAAATAAATAAAAAATTAGGCTAACTTTATAAAAAGAAATAATAAAGCATGTGAGAATGAGGAGATAATTAATTTAAATTTCTTCTTACAAATATAAAAAATAATATATATATATATATAAATAAAGAGTTTTCTTTTCTTTTCTGAACACGATGCCACCGAGAGCTAAGAAGCGTAGAATGGCTCAACCAGCAGCGACTGCCACACAGCAGCCAAGTGGTAGTCAGGCTACGGTGTCTGTGAATTCCGACGACAAGTGCAGGGCCATCCTTTGCACCGACCACCTCTGGAGCAACAATCTCAACTCCAACAGATGTTGGTACCACCCCTGCTCCTGTCCCATCAATACATATGATTGGTATGAATGTTTCTAGCACAGTCAAACAACGTATTATTAGTGGGCAGTATATTGATTTGGCCACATTGGTAACACCAAAATCAGGGTCTGATGAAAAGAAATTAGTTATGAATAGTATGGGTGAGATAATTTATAAAGATGCCAACCCAAAAAAGGTAGAAAATATTGAGCAATGGACTGACCTTATGCTCATATTTGCAAGTGTGTACTTGAGTGCACATCCCGCCAAGACTCTTGACCTACTTAAGTACATACAAACCGTAAGAATGGGTGTTAGCAGGGGGGCTATATCTTGGAAAGAATATGATACGCAGTTTAGGCTGCGCAAAGAGCAAAATCCTGTGTCTTCTTGGGGTGAAATTGACTCGGAATTATGGTTGATGTATATGCATTCTGGGCCCGCTTATAACGTAACAAATGCACCCAAAACCAATAATGATAATTGCTTCAATTTCAATTACAAGGGATCTTGTGACAAATTCCCATGCATGTATAAACACAGTTGTATTCGATGTGGTAGTAACCATCCACAGATACATTGCCTTACACAAGCCTCAAACACTGGGTCCCCACAAATATTTCGCCAACAAAATTCAAGTGGTCAATTCTATGGACAGTCAAGTTTTCGTCCACAAACCACCAATGCAAATACCAACTATAAGGGGTATTCAACCAATGCAAATACCAATTATAGGGGGTATTCCAGCAGCAACACCCAGCGCCCCACCTACTCAAGACCAAGATTCCGCACCCCGCAATCTATGGCGTCTAGGTTCAACGCCTATTAATGTACACGCCCTTAAAAAATGTCTCGTCCACTATCCTAACAGAATCATAGCAAATCGCCTAATCCAAGGGTTCTCTCAAGGGTTTAAACTTCATTATCATGGGCCTAGATTACCAATTCAATGTAATAATTTGAAATCCGCGGACGATCATCCTAATGAACTTAAAGAAAAATCGATAAAGAAATTGAAATGGGGAGGATACAGGGTCCTTTCACGAAAATACCAATTTCTAATCTTAGGTTATCTCCAATTGGGCTAGTGCCAAAGGGGGATAATTTGGGCTGGCGTCTAATAACGCACCTCTCTTTCCCGAAGTTTAGTAGTGTAAATTCATACATAGATCCTTGTGAAACTGCTGTACAATATTCATCCTTTGATTCAGTGATTCAGATGATTGCTAAATTAGGGAAGGGGGCTTTCATAGGTAAGCGAGATATAAAATCCGCATTTCGACTTCTTCCAATATTTCCCGGCGATTTTGATCTCCTGGGTTTTAAATTTCAGGGTAATTATTTCATAGACAAATGTTTACCTATGGGGTGCTCCATTTCGTGTAAGGTTTTCGAGGATTTTTCTACAATTTTGCAGTGGGCTACGATACAGCGCTCTAAAACATCAACAATGGATCATTATCTAGATGATTTTATATTTGCTGGGAGGGATGCGCATTCCTGTCAAGATCTTATGTCGAATTTTCAAGACGTCTGCGATGATATAGGTGTTCCTATTGCCGAGGACAAATCTGAAGGCCCTACTATGGTTATGACATTTTTAGGTTTTGAGATAGATACTTATCATATGCTAGTTAAGATCCCCAATTCAAAATGCTTAGAGCTACAGGGTATTTTACACCATCTCGTTGTTCAACGCAAGATGACACTCCAACAATTACAATCTGTTTTAGGTAAACTGAATTTCTTTACAAGAGCCATAAGACCAGGTAGGGCATTTCTGCGTCGGCTTTATAATGCTACAATAGGAGTTTCAGAATTACATTATCACATAAGGATAACTCAATCAATGCGACAGGACTTGTACATGTGGATTAATTTTCTTGAATCATTTAATGGGACTGTGTATTTTTTAGATATTGAGTGGACGTCAGACAACAACATTAATTTTTACACAGATAGTTCCGGTTCGTCTTACTTGGGATGTGGTGCTTATTTCAAAGGGGAATGGTGTTTTTACCCTTGGCCAGAGACCTGGGCGTCCAATGACCTACTTAAAGACATGACCTTTTTAGAGTTTGTTCCGGTGGTCTTGGCCGTCTATTTATGGGGTAACAAACTCGCTAATAAAAAGATCATTCTCCATATAGACAATCAAGCTGTAGTCGCTATAATAAATAAACTCACTTCTAAATCAGAGCGGGTCATGAAACTACTTAGACCATTTGTCCTTGCTTCTATGAATTATAATATTCTGTTTCGTGCAGTTTACATACCAAGTAAAGACAATGTAGTTGCTGATTCAATTTCTCGTAAGCAGTGGGCCAGATTCCGACAAGCAGCTCAACATGCCAGGGAACACCCTTGCCCAGTGCCCCTATCTTTCCGCAACATCATCTCCAGCCTGAGTTTGCTAAACTTTTAGACGCCTCAGTATCTGAAAACACACATAAATCTCATCGGGCTGGAATGGCAGCATATTACAAAGTATGTAGACTCATTGATTGCACGCCATGGCCCCCTACATTAAACTCAGTCGTGCAATTCGTTTTGCATTCATCATCATCCGGCCTCGCATATGGTACCGTGAGGTCATACTTGTCTGCCATTTCATTTTATTGTAAATTGCAGAGTGTTCACGATCCAACCCCAGAGTTCTTGGTTACAAAGTTATTGCAGGGCATGAAACGTTTGAGACATAAAGTAGATACTAGACTGCCAATAACGAAAACAATTTTGCTAAATATTATTCAAGTTCTGCCCATAATATGTACCAATGCTTTTGAAACAGCTCTTTTCTCGGCTGCATTTTCCCTGGCATTTCATGGATTTTTAAGAGTTGGCGAATTAACAGTTAATACAAGAGAAGGTGATCAACAAAACACAATTCAATTCGACAATTTGTCCATTAATCACGAAACGCAATCTCTCTTACTGACTATCCGGTATTCGAAAACGGACCAGTTAGGTAAAGGCACAGTACTTCAAATAGATAAGCAGGGTGGTGTAGCATGTCCATATCAGCTCATTACTAAATACGTCAGCATCCGTCCAGAGGGTTCAGGTGCATTATTTCGACACTTCGATTTATCCCCACTCACACGATATCAATTTACGGGGGTACTTTGTAAGGCAGTAAAGCACCTAAATTTGCCTGGTATCTCAGGATACAAATCTCACTCTTTTCGTATCGGCGCGAGTACTGATCTCGCGTTAAAAGGATTTTCAACTCATGACATTCAGAGATCTGGTCGTTGGAAATCTGATTCTTACAAATCCTACATTCGCATACCAAAGTTTTAATCTAATTTTAGATATACAGACAATATGGTTGGTGGGTTCATCAATAATCAAGCACGCCTTTTTGGAAGCTGTATTAAGACCAGGTGGTACAAATTTGGTACATCTCACTGTGGTGGCAGGGTTATTAGTGGCCTCCAGTTAAGTAAAACTAAACAAAAGATTAGAACTCTTGGAAAGGTGGGCCCTGTACCTAATTTCATCCTTATACATTGTGGGGGGAATGACTTGGGCAATGTATCGATCAGAAAAATAAGGGTGCTTGCAAAGCAGTTGGTTTTATTTCTAAGGAATCACTTTCGAAACAGTAGGATTATATGGTCATTTATACTTCCGCGTCTCCAATGGCGCTATTCAGCAAATTTAAAAGCTATGGAAAATGCACGCAAACGGGTTAATTCTGGTATAGCTGCAATTGTCTTGCAATCTGGGGGCGCAATAATTCGCCATTCAGACATTAAACCTGATCCAGCTTTATTTTTACAGGATGGGGTACACTTATCCTCGTTGGGGAATAACATTTTTCTAAACTCTCTCCAGGGGGGACTTGAGGCTATCGTTGCCCATGGTCAATCCTGCTTTCCCAATTAGCAAGGGTCCTGGGTACGGCTGTTCGTATATGCCGCTCTACCCCCACCATGGTGGCGGAGTTCCCTGGATGAGTTTCATTCTGATCCTCATCTCAGGGAACTTGTGGCGTATAAGCGGCATTTTGGTAATTGTAAGCTTTGACCTCTGCACCTCCCAGGGTCAATGCTTTCTATATATATATATATGGTGAACTTTGAACTTTGATGTTGTGAACTTTGAACTTTTGATGTTGTATGAACTTTGACTTACCACTATATGAACTTTGACCTTTGGTAATGACCTTGATATATGATTTGCTTTGATGTTGAATGTTGTTTGTGCATTTGATTGGGGCATGCTCTTGTCTTGGCTGCCCATTGCCCATATGATATTGTTTGTTTTGCATTTGAAACTAAATAACAGCCGTGCCCATAATATCGCCACACTTTAATAAAATTAATTTCAAGTTACCATTTGTTTGCGTTACACTTTTCTGAGATAAAATGGATATAACCGTAACTTTTCTATTTTTAGACGAAATGTTTTGAAACTCATAATGTAAGGATATATGAGTAGTATGCACAAGATGACATGGTCAAAATAGCTTCGCTCTGATTGGCTGAAACTAAAGTTTCAATATCTTTTTTTTTTTCGATAAAATCTTTTGAAATTTTGAACATAGTCATACATAAGGGAGATCTACAGCCCGTAATAAAAAAAATATCATGAAAACATGTGCATGCACGTGTGCTTGCAAGAGCTCGCACACGCAACACGAGAAATGTCCAATATAATTGATACAGACGTAACTATTTAAATTATTGATGATATTCTTTAAAACTAATATTAGAAGTATATATTAGAAGCATAGACAAGATGACATGGTCAAAAAAGCAAGATCTCACGCGCATGCACGTGCGCTTCGCTCTGATTGGCTGAAACTAGAGTCTCAATATCTTTCTTGTTTTTTGACGAAATCCTTTGAAATTTTGAACATAGGCATGTATTAGGATATCCTACAATAATATATATAGCAATTATCATGAAAACACGTGCATGCACGTGCGCTGCAATCTGATTGGCTTATGCTTTAAATAGCTATAACTCCCTTGGTTTTCAATCAAACAGGATGGGATTTAAAACATGGATAGATATAATGGACTTCTAGAAGAAGATATGGTCACCATGCACATGCATACACGGGCATGTACGTGCGCTGCAATCTGATTGGCTGAAACTTTGAACAGCTATAACTCCCTTGGTTTTCAACCAAACGGGGTGGGAATTAGAACATAGATAGACGTGATGGACTTCTTCAGGAAGTATGGTCGCTAGTCTCATGTGAGCACGCGCATGCACGTGAAATGAGTAAAATCAAAAATACACTTGAATTAGCGTATTTTTTAATACTTTTGGATTAAATACTTTGATATCTAGTATATTAAAATCTATAGATTGTGAAGACAAGATTATATGGTCATTACGCACGTGCATTCACATGCGCAGGCGTGCAATGCTAAAATTTGAATGAAATTGGTGCACTTCTGGGTAAACGTTGTTAAAGTCTCAAATGCATAGAGTTTGTCTTATGTAATGAAGCTTATAGGAAATATGGCACCAAAAGGGAGTTGGGGAGCGTTTGGGGAACATCTGTAACGGTCCCCGTTACAATTAGCACTAGTTATTATTATTTTTCTTCTCGGGAAAATTTTGTCCGCGAATGATCTTGTAAAGTACACATCCGATTAAGGGGAAACCTTTTTAGGGTAAGTAGGCATGTTATGTAGATTTGCGGAACGAAGGTCATTTTGCGCGCACGTGCAACACGTTAAATGACCAATATACTTGAAATTGCCGTAACTTTTACATTTTTCGATGTAATGCTTTGATATTTAGAATATGTAGACATATTATAAATGTAGATAAGATGACATTGTCAACATGCCATTTTGTGTGCACGTGCTTGCAAGAGCGCGCACGAGCAACACGTGAAATGACCGATTTCATTGATATAGACGTAAATCTTTACCGTTTTGATGAAATGCTTTGAAACTCATAATATAAGAATATAGTAGTAGCATAGACAATATGACATGGTCAAAATAGCAAGATCTCACGCGCATGCACGTGCGCTTCGCTCTGATTGGCTGAAACTAAAGTTTCAATATCTTTCTTGTTTTTTGATGAAATCCTTTGAAATTTTGAACATAGCCATGCATTAGGATATCCTACAACATGATATATAGCAATTATCAAGAAAACACGTGCATGCACGTGTGCTGCAATCTGATTGGCTGAAACTTTAAATAGCTGTTACTCCCTTGGTTTTCAACCAAACAGGATGGGATTTGGAACATAGATAGATATAACAGACTTCTACAAGAAGGTATGTCACCATGCACATCCATACACGTGAGTGTACGTGCGCTGCAATCTGATTGGCTGAAACTTTAAATAGCTATAACTCCCTTAGTTTACAACCAAACAGGATGAGATTTGAAACATAGATAGATATAATGAGATGAGAAATGTGAAATGAGTAAAACCAAAAATACACTTGAATGAGCGTATTTTTTAAATACTTTTGGATTAAATACTTTAATATTTAGTATATTAAAGTATATAGATTGTGTAGACAAGATGATATGGTCATTACGCACATGCATTCACATGCACACGCGTACAATGCTAAAATTTAAATGAACTTGGTACCCTTCTGGATAAACGTTGTTAAAGTCTCAAATGCATAAAGTTTGTCTTATTTAATGAAGCTAACAGGGAATATGGCACCAAAAGGGGGATGGGGAGCGTTTGGGGAACATCTGTAACGGTCCCCGTTACAATTAGCACTAGTTTGTTTTTGTTTTTTATTTGTGTTAATAAACTTATTTGTTATTTCTGATTGATATTGTTTTCCTTCTCAACTCTACAAAATCCAAAAAGAACTCATGACATTTAATAATTCTACAAATTCAGTCAGGGAGATCCGACCCCCCCCCCCCCCCGAACTGCGCATGGTTTACTTTTCCCTAGGCGGGGGACACAGATTCTCTGAATTAGCTTGTTTTAACGAAGACTGTTTTCACAATATAAAGCAGTCCTCACATGTTCAATTTTTGAGACAATTATTAAAGTTTTGCATGTAAAATTTTCATGTTTACAGTTAAAAATGAAACACGTAGGATCTGAAAAGATTTCCCAAAAATGTATCTTAGGAAAACCTTAAAAACTTCAAGATTTGGTTTGTTTTATATCAAAACTGCTTTTCTGCTGACGTTATGTGTAAAAAATTATTTCTCGAAGGGGAATGGGCCACACCTATTCTGTATATGGCACGCCAAATTCACAAAAATGAGCGAAACATAGTTTCGCAGTTGATATCGACAGTAAACTATAGTTTACAAACCGTGAACTATAGTTAACAATTCGTTATCTATAGTTTTCATCTGTAAAACTATATTTAACGGTAGTTAACTATACATGTAGTTTACGAATGCTAATATAAGTTTATCTGTCTGTAATCATACATTAACAATAAATTTTGTTGATAAACATAGATTCACGTCTGTAAACAATAATTTACAATCGTGAACTATAGTAAAGAGTTGTTAATCATAGTTTTACAAATCGTGAAACTATATTAATCAAATCGTTAACTATAGTTAAGAGTCGTAAACCATATTTTACAAATCGTGAAACTATATTTTTCAGATAATTTATTTTTTGCAAGCGTAAATGATTGTTTTCAGTGTTAAGTTTAGTTTATGGTTCTGAAACATAAATTATCGCGTTAACTAAGGTTTACTGATGTAAAATGTAGAATAACGTTGTTAACTATACTTTACAGTCCGTAAACTACTGTTTACAACGGATGAACCTAGTTTATTGACTGTGAAACTATGTTTAGCTCCTTTTTGTGAAGCATGTTGCCCTAAAAAACTTTAGAGATTGTGTGTAACTTTTTACGTGGAGCCATGTCTGCCAGAATGGAATCGTTAATCAGTTCAATAACCATAGTGGATATATACAGAGCGACAAATATCCCCGGGGACAGACAGGCCACCAACAATAATACATGTCTCTAAAGAGTGAAACAAAAAGATAAGTTCATTGTATGCATCACTTTTGTTCACATTTATTGATAAAAAAAAATAACAGCATTATGTATACTAGTAATAAAATATTGTATTTACCTAATAAAGATACATCGTTTATTTGATTAGTTATTATCAATGTAATGAAAAGCGACAAATCTTATTTGAAAGTCTGTTTTTCCACATGCCATCCAGCTCAAACCCACTCCATACGTTTTCGAAGCTCCCTAAGTATTCAGTCGAATCAAAAAGTTTGACCTAGTGATGTAGCTTAAGTCAGTTCTAATCCGTGTGTTTTCTCTATTCGATGTGTCGATTGTAAAGAGTCCATAAGTTATCACAGGTGGTCCCTCAAAATGATTCTTGAATACAACGTGTTTGACTTGTGGCCAGCTGTAGAAATGACCCGGAAAGTTGTATAATTTAACATCACCTGTTTCACCTATAATCATGATAAACAAGAGAATTACCTCAGCGAAGTAAATAACAGCAAAAATGCAGACTAAAGACAGTAGTTTGGTTATTATCACCGATTGCAATCACAGTAAGTGATACAATACACCAAAATTACAATGTAGTGTCCGGAATTTAATGTCCTACAGTACTGTTATTACTTATCCTTTTTATGGATCGTAATAAATTGACCATAATTCAGTTTAAAATATACTTACAGACAGCAGTATATCTCCCTGAAAAAAGTCAAATACAATATGTTTTTTTTTTCAGAATAGCTTAAATTTATTATCTAAATGTAAACATCGAATACTAATTCATACCTTATATTAGTACTCGATTTCTTTTCAGATATAATAAAAAGTTAAAACTTATGTTAACACAATGCAATTAATAATAATTATTATATCTTACGATTTTTGAGTGCATTGACTTCTTTAAATAACGCTCTCTTAGTTTCCTCCAGGTTTTCAATTTTTGACTTCATACCGTATACTTCTCCCAAAAGATGAAAGAGTAGGTCATTTCCAGATTTATCAGACTTCTTGTTTTGCACTTGAACATCTCTGCTCTATAATAAAATATAAATGAACTACATTGTATCATATTTTTAATCGCGATCACCATGCACACAATGTTGTAAAGAATAGGTTTATTCGGCATCAACGACTCTTGCTTATGTTTGAAAATGCTGACGAGTACTAGTCCTATACTCGGCACTTAGGGTCATTGAGCAGTGAGGGATCTTTTTCGTGTCCGTACCTTACTGCAACAAGGTACCTCGGTTTATTCAGACTCATCTGAAGGATCGGTCTCCACGTTCCACAGTGGGATTCGAAACCGTGTCGTAAGGATGACTCCTTACTTCGCAACTCTAGAGCAGACACTCTAACCACTGCGCCAGAGTACTAGTTGAAGAATATAATTATGTTACTTTTTTTGTAATTGTATATAATCGTAACTTGGCAAGCTACAGTTGTACATGTAAAGTGTATTTCACATACAAAAGTTGAAGAGTTCCACTACATGAAGGACCTATGTGCAATACTTTAAATGCCACTATATGGATTTGTACACCGCTTCTAAAACAAATTTTGATAAAAAGAAATCTGGAATATATGTTTTGTAATTTTTGTACATTTTTCTTTGAATAATGCAAAAAATTTTCATAATTTGATATCTTTTCAAACCCCCTGGTAACACATGCTGATTTTTTTTTGTCTAAGATCATGTAATGGTATTATAAGGAAAAACTTAAAATATCTTGAAAAATTATCGGTAGGTAAGGTACCTTATGTACATGTATGTCCTTAAGTAGGAATAAACATATTCGGAATTCATAATTTTTATTTCAGTGCTTCCCTGTACGAGCGAGGGATGTCCCAAAAAGTTGTAGACAATGTTTGTAACTTTTTAAACATGCAACCATTCTACTAACTAAATTTTGCATAGACATCAGATTTTCAATGATCTTTAAAATTGTGAATTTTTAAATATATATCTTTCATATCAATAATATTAGGACAATATATTTCAAGGCCGATAAGGAATGTCTACGTAAGAACAAAATTCGGAATAATTTATGCATGTAATCATTACAATTTTCTTTTATTTCTTTTGTACTATGTAAAACATTGAACTCAGATTTAAATCAGTGAAACTAGATAATCTCATTAATATGGCAAAATTTTATATACGTAGCATTTGAAACAGACGATTGGTGACAAGATTTTCAATGTGTTGTTGGAATTGAGTTTGATGAAAATGACGTAAAACGCGTAACTGGCGCACGGATATGTAATTAATTGTTTTGAATATGGTTTGTATACACAATCCGTTCCCACGGATTACCAATTCGTTTCCTTGATTTATAATTCGAGATCTCGAAATACACAATCCGTTCCCACAGACTACCAATTCGTTCTCACAGATTATCAATTCGTTCCCTCAAATTACACAATTTGTTATAACATATTGTAATTCATTCTCTTAATTTAAACAATTCGTTCCCTCGGAATAAAACTCGATCCCACGATTTAATTATTATTTATCTGCACATATCGGATATGACAACACGTGTTTAATGAATAGAATATATATATATATATATATATATATATATATATATATATATATATATATATATATATATATATATATATATATATATATATATAATATATATATAATAGTTTACATCCTACTTTTTATAACATATTCAGTAAAAAAAAAAATGAGAAAGTACTTATGCTAGTACAGATATTACGAAAGCCATGAAGGGACAAGCCAATTTCTCAAAAAAGTAAAAATTAATTTGAGATCTCGAATTACACAATCCGTTCCCTTCATGGCTTTCGTAAGAAGTAGAGTACGTACTATTTGTTAAACGCAAACAGTGGGGAACTTGCAGTCTGGGCCACGAACGACGTCAAACAATGTTTATTCTCTGCTGCCTACAATGTATGGCGATCTTTCGACTAAATTTCGACTGAAATCTGAATATGCTTAAAAAAAACAGAAAACAACCACTGTTACAAAACCCCGGACAGTATAATGAATTTAAATAAGTCACTTAATTAAGAGTAGTCTTTCACTTAAAAAAAAATTAATGTCAACAGACGCGTGTGAAGCAGAAAAAGGGATTATTACGTTTTATGAGATGTAAATTACGCTTGCTTTCGTGCGGCGATGTACACTTTCATGCTTTCTTTATTCTTTCATAATTTTCTTATAAAATGTGATAACATCATAAAATTTGAAATGCAAGATTAAAAAATATTACTTTTTGCTATAACAAGAGAAGTAATTTAATTTAGAAAAGAGAAACTAAATTGTTTTCTCTGTCTATGATTTTATGGGACAACCCTCGTATATGCTATTTAAATAAGATTTTCGAGTACCAGGCACAGCTCTCCTGCTATGGACAAAATTTGATTGCTATGTACAGAATAAGATTTATGCTGAAATTGAAGTATGTTTTATTATTCCTAGATGAAATAAAGCTTGTTTTTCTTCTCTTTTATTTGATTTAAATACACGATCTCCTTTATTTTTTGACACGATCTTTTGAAGTTACAGTAAAACTCGTTTGGTACGAACTCGGATATAGCGAAATCACGGATATAGCGAAGTTTTTCTGAGTCCCCGGCATAATTCTTAAGAATTCTTACTAAATTTTTTCGGTTATAACGAACTCGGATATAACGAATTTACGGATATAGCGAACTGACTTTGAGTCCCGTCGAGGTTAAATATAATGATATTTATATCTTTTATAACGAACTTTCAAAGATCTCAAAATTGATAAATTGAACTGACTTTGTTTTCTTTTAGCATTTGTATATAAAATTCAATTCCTATTAAAACCTTAGTTATCGAAAAAATGTTTTATTATATTTGCTTCCTTAACATATTTGGTAGTAATACATGTACTTAAAGGAAAACATGCATATTGCGAATTCGCTTATATGGTTATACGAATTCGTTATACGGATATAACGAATTACGGATATAGCGAATTAAATTCACAGGCCCCCAGGACTTCACTTTAACCGAGTTTTACTGTATTTTGATTGCTATGAGGATTATTATCTCATAATATCACTATTTTTATTGATCATGCAACTGTATAATGGCAAATATACATTAAAACAAATCAATTTGGAAGAAATTTAATTTTTTCTTTAAATTTGCTGTGTATTTAACGTTTTCAAGAGTAAAAACATAAATTTTAACCGTTTTTCCACAAAACAAATTGATACAAATGCGTCTCAATTTAAAGTTATCATAAAAGTCTGTTGTAAAAGATATCTGTATTCTTTTGAAAAAAAAAATTAAAATTGAAGCTCTTTTTCTAAACTATGGTTTCCAAGACATTACATATAATGTACATAATAAGAAGAAATTAATAGTTTTATTGGTCAAATAATGTCTTCATATATCTGAAAGAAAACAAAATTGAATTAAATTTTCAGTTTCCATCTGAAGCTTCATGTTTCATGACACTGCCTCTTAAATATTCAATTACTTGGGAAGATGAGCTAAAAAATTTCAAAGTTTTACTTTACATAAGTTTTGTTCAGGAAACATTAATGCATTAAGAAATAAAAATTACCTTAAAATTCGGTTTATTTTTGAATGATTGTGAATGTAATATTACAGAAACATAATATAAATGTTTCCGTAAGCAAAGATATGGCCTCGCGGCACAACCTCAAAAATAAGACGTTAAAGTAAATAAATACTTTGATATGATTATTAGTCATATTTCACTTGAGTCACAAAGTAAGGAGTTGATCCTTATGTCGCGGGTTTGAATCCCACTGTGGAACTTGAAGACCGGTCCTTTGGATGAGACCGTAGAAACTGAGTCCTCGTGCTGCAGTAGGTATAGGCACGAAAAATATGTTGTCCTGCTCAATTCCCTAGTCCTCCATCGTCAAATGGTGACTGAGGCGGCTTTATATGGGTGAAAAATTCTCAAGAGGGAAGTTAAACAACAAACAAACCGACGCAAGAAATGTGATCGCTCCTTTATCACACAATCATTTATTCAATCTTTTGAAAAAGAAAATCACAAATGCCAGATATTTCAAAACAGGTCCACGAAGAGAAAAAGGTAAAATTCGGATTCTAAATCAGGTATCCATATGCATAGTCAGTCACGTCGAAAATAACATCGCTCGCCAGCAGTGCAAACTGTTTGAATTATTTTTTATTTAAGGGGGCCGAAATTTACTCCTATCATATGAATATTGCAGATCATGGTCCTAATTATGTGCAAATGAATTATTGGTATCGTTGCATGCATGGTTATTGCGTTTTTATCTATTAAACTTTGGAGGTAATATCAAATGCCGGCTTAAAACGTATTTATATATACGAGGGCTGTTCAATAAATAATGTCCTGAACTAAATAACATACATTACAGATATCATATGACATTAAACTTGACTTTATCTCATTATTGAATCTTCCATGAATTTATA